ATTGAGCAGTTTAAATTGACACAAAAAAATTGTCATTTATTATGTGTTTATATCATAATAAGAGTGCACATACATACAATAAGACCAACATCATTCTTACTAAACATCAACATAGAGAACATTGTATGAGTATAAGAGAGAAAAGTGTTTTCATTATTATTTTTTTTTTTTTTTACAACACTATCGTCACAACTTCTATAAGTAATCGAAGAAAAATGCTCTGTGTCTTCTCCGGTTTTTTTTTCTCTTTCTCTCTGTCTTTCGTCTTCTTCTGCGTTCTTCTTTCTCTTTTGTTCTCTATATGTGTGTCTGTATGTGTATGTTTGTCTAGTTGCTTTGACGGTTGATGATGATGATGATGATGAAATAGAGTGGCACTTTTTCATTATTTGAAATGACACAATCGAAAGAGACGATCTAAGTAAGAAAACAAGAAATATTTATTTATTATCCACAAATCTTAATTCCCGTTTTTATTTTATTTTATTTTATTTTTTTAAACAAACTTCTACTTTTATTAACATCAATGTCGTTTAGATAAGATAAAGTATCATATTATTACCATTTCTACTATCTTTTATCAAATGTCATGAGAATATTTTACTATCAGGCTTATTAGCCATCATATTTCGAATGATTATCGGTACACAAAACGTACGCACATGTGCACTTATGTTCATTGTGCTTATGTATTTAATGTTTGGTGCTGCTGTTTTTAATGCTTGTAAGTATATTTGATTAAATATAATAGATTAAATAATGATTTATTATTGTTTATTTTAGTGGAATCAAAAGAAGAAGTTCGTCAACGTGCTCTACTTAGATCAAGAATGGCTCGTATTTTATATAAAAATGAAACAATTCAAAATGAAACTATTTTTAATACTTTAACAGCAGCAATATTTGAAAATCGACATACACGTAGTGGTACAGCTAAACAATGGACATTTCCTGGTGCCTTTTATTTTTCAACATTAGTCGTAACTTTAATAGGTAGATTATTATTATTTTTTTTTTTTATTTTCTATAAGATGTATTCTATTCAAATGATACTTTTATTTATTGTTAGGTTATGGTCATACAACACCAAAAACAAGTAGAATTGATTAGTTTTTATTTCGAAATAATTAAATTTGAGTTTGTTGTTTTTTTTTTTAAATTTAGAAGGTGGAAAAATATTTTGTATGGTTTATACAGTTGCTGGAGTGTAAGTATATGTAAATATTCGTCTTTGTCTATAATAGCCATTTTTGTTTTTTTTTTGTATAGACCTCTCAATTTGATTATGTTTCAATCAGTTGGCGAACGATTGAATGCTATTATTTCATTTGTATTATCACGTCTTAAACGTTTATTTGGTTTCCGTCGTCATAAAGTATCCGGTTTTGAATTGATTGCTGTGGAATTTGGTATGACAACAATGCTAGTACTCGGTGGTTCATTTATTTTTTGTAAACAAGAAAAATGGACATATTTTGAATCAATTTATTATTCTCTTGTTACTTTTTGGACAATTGGTAAGTAAAAAAAAAACATCACAAGATATGTATAGTTGTGTTTATTTTAAAAACAAATTATCTCTGTTTTTGTCTATATTATTCAATAGGTTTTGGTGATTTTGTTCCATTGGCCAGTCAGCAACGTAGTGGTCATTCGCTTTATTCTCGTTTTGGATATTTTATTTATACTATATCATTTATTCTATTCGGTCTAGCAATTATGGCTTCTTCATTGAATTTGTTGGTACTTCGTCTAGCTCAGTTTCATTCAGAGAATGGCATTGGTGGAATATCAGATGTTCTTGGTCACAATGAAGAAGAACTTATAGCTGCTGCTATTGCTGAGCATCGTGCATCACTTAGTATTCAACAACGTAATCGTATCTGTTCGAATCCTAGTTTAATTCAACAGCAGAAAGCACTAGCACCCTATCTTCCTATAAAAACTTATTCATGGTGGTCATTGTCATCATCGAATTCTCAATCAGATTATTCTAAAAGTGTCAACGAAGAAACTTGTTGTTCAGGATATTCTTTATATATATGTAGAAAACGTCGACGACGGCATTGGCATTTACGTCGATCGCCTCAAAATATTAAACATTTACTTTATTTCAATCATATATTAGAAAATCATAAGTTAGCATTCATACGAAAATCATTGATTCCTAATCAATATAATCATTCAATGACAAATCACATATCAGAGGTAAATTTACAAAAGTCACAAAGAATTTCAATTTAAGTTATTTATGTCAACAACAACAACAACAACAACAGCTGAATTTTTAATGGTATCATTAAGAAAAAGTGATGATTTACATCCAAATCATTAATGTTGCTATTTGTCTGTACGTTTGTGACAAGATCAATGTGCTCTTTACATATTATATGTATGTCTGCTTTTGTTTGACTCTTAACACATGTTCTGGAGTGCTCTATTGGTGGGCAAGAAACAATAGAATATAGGCTATCAAACATGTCAAAATTGGTTTCTAGAAAATCGTATTTTTTCTTTTATTAAAAGAAAAAAAAAAGAAGTTATTCATAAATTATAAATGTACTCTTTTATTCTTTTCTTTTTTTTTACAAGAATATTTTCAAAGAAGATATATAGATCTTATTTATTTTATTTTATATTTTTTGAAATGTCAACAAAGCCGAAGATGATGTTTTATTAATCAATGCAATACTATTATGGAAAGATTTCAATATTTTTCATTTATAAACTAGAAGAACTTGAAGCACATCATATCAATGTGTATTTAAAGATTGTATATATATATATAATCAAAATAAACTTATCAGGCCCTTTTTTTTTTGTTATATTTACTAAGTTAAAATTCGTGATAAAGACTAAAAGGACATCAGGAAATTTGTACTAATAAGATTGTTAGTCATGATAAGAAACAAAAAAGAAAGGAATAAGAATTATTTTGGCTTCGTTCAATGTGACCTTTCAAAAGAGCTGATCTCCTAAATAAATTATATTTAATCTAAGACAAACAATTTAGCAATCGTATATATTATGCTTATTTGTATGAAAACATTTGAAGTAAATTGAAAATTTCGATTCATAGTATATTCATATAATAGTTTGCATTGTATAGGCTTGATAGAAAACTATCAAATACTAATAAGTTTTTCAATCATTATTTTTTAAGCCTTTCTAGTATTTATTTATTTGCTAACAACATATATTTTCGAATATTTTTCTCTGATATTACAACGTAAATAATATTTATGTATGCTAGAGAGTAATGTTGTAATACATGATACATTTATTTCAATTAACTAACTGAATATATTTATTATTCAATCATAGTTTTTTTTCTCCATTTGTGTTAGATATAAGTGTGAATATTGAATTTATGCCTTCATTTGAATAATATGTAATATTAATCGAATGATTACAATCGTATGCGAAACAAGAACAAAAAAAAACACACACACACAACCCTCTTTACTATATCATGGTATCTATTTCGATGTAATTTGTCAATTTATTTTTTCGTTTAATATCTATATTGTTTATTAAATAAAAATAGAAAATATTAGTTATTCGATGTAGATTAGTATCTGTTTTCATTCTATTGATGAACAAAGAAATATTTGAATGTATGATACTAAAAAAAAAAGTAATAGATTAATCAATGTACTTTTTTTGTTCTTCGATTGATTATAAACAAGGTTTTCTTTTCTTTTACTAATAAAAAAAAAATATTTAATATAACACTAAGTTTAAGATGAATATGAGATCGTAAATTATCTTTGACAATGTTTTCATGTTCTTCAAAATTTATTTTAGAATGTCAAAAAGAATATCTTCATATCACAAAGCATATCAATCACAATTTTATTAGCTAGATCAAGTCAGGAAAGAAATGTCAGTTCATCTCTTAGTTATTGTTAAGATATATAGAGTATAAATTCAGTTACTTATAAGAATTTGTGTTTTTCTTTTTTAGAATTCTATTGTAAAGATTAATATTCATTGCAGCGTCTGAGATAAAGAATAAGACTAAAACCTGATACTCCGTGACGTTAGTTTTCCTTTTTTTTTGTCTAGTGCGTGTGAAATATTTTCTTTGCTAGTAAAAGATAAATGCAATAACATGAATATTGATAAATCTTTCAAATATCAAAAGAATTTTGAACTTTCTTATATCTATGTTTCTTTATGCAAACAATTGAAATTGTCAGGCAACGAGTAAATTGTTAATAGTCTTTTTGAACATTTCTTCATATCTATAATCTCCTTGATCAGTCGTTTATCATTTCAACTAGATATTTTTTTTCTTCTGTCTGCCTTTTATTTCACACACGCACACAAGGAAAACGACAAAAGTATACAGAAAAAAAAAAAGAACACTCTGTATAATACAATAACATAAAGAAACAAAACAAAAAAGAGCGAAAGACACACAGAAAAACAAGGTGTTTTTTTTTGAGAAATATATGTGTTGAAGAATCATCACCAGGAATGATACTATTAACGAAAAAAAAAGAAAAACGACAATATAAATCGCCATTTATAATACAGAAAAGACTAAAGTCGATTTCAATAGGGGGAATGTCAAAAGGAAAACAAACAAACAAACAAACAAACAAACAATAATTTCATTTTGTTTTTTTTTTTGTTTTGCATGTATAGAGATGTGTTTGTCAATATAAAAAAAAAAGAAAACGAAGAAGAAGGAAAAGCTGAGAGAGAAAAAAAACACGTCTGAGCGAGAGAATGTTTTTTTTTGTAATTTAATTCAGAAACTTTTTATGATTTTTTTTGTTTTTCGTTTTTTTGTCAAACGTCTTCAAATTTTCTTTCAAAAAGAAAAAACAAAACAAAACAAAAATTTCTCTTCATCATGATTAATTCTAAATAAATTTTTTACATGAATAATTAGATTCTCATAGAAAAAAAAAAATACGACGTAAAAAAGAAAATGAAAACTTCTATTGACTTTGTGTATATGTTTTTTTTTTTTATTTTGGTTGTTTTGATCATGATTGATTCCGTCGATGTACTGTTTGTTGTTCAGGATAATTTTTGTGTGTATGATATGATAAATTTGTTGATGGTCGATGTGGATAATAATTTCGATGGGAATTTGTACGATAAAATCCATATGATTTTGATGATAAACTCGATGGTGATGACTAAAAAAATAGAATAGATTATTTTTTCTTTTTTTGTACTCAGGCAATGAAAATAACAAAAAAAAATGATATGTCTAAGTGACGGATATGAGTTTGATACTTTCGGTTAATTACTATCCGGGTGTGTTTTTTTTTAATTATATGTTTTACTTAAAGAAAAAAAGTCTTCTATTTACTTTTTTTTATTCAAACGTAATGAATTTTGATTAATAGATGTGATGCAGAATTTGATAATAGAGCAAAAAAAATAATAATTTCCTTTAAAAACTCATTATTTTAGACAAATATAAAAGTTTCAAGATAATTTAAAGTTTTTAAATTTCTCAGAAATTTTTATTTGAAAATTAAAATTGTTTTCTATGTCAGATGTAGTTTTTTTTTATTTTGTATCATAGTTCTAAGTTAAAAATACACAATGTTTTATTTACTCGTGCGGAAAATTTTCAATATGATGTTAAGATAATTTATTGTTCAATATAGCATTAATAATAGTACTACAAAATCCATCAGATAATCAAATTGAATAAATGTTTCATAGTAGAAAATTATGTTGGTTGTTTTTTTTTTCTATATATACATCAATTACAAATAGATTTTCTTCTACTATATAGCTAATCTTTACACATCAACGTTTGTATTAATAGAGAATGAAATTTTCAACAATTCCTTATGTTCCATTTCATTTGATAGATCTTTTTATTTTTGTTGCTTTGGCTATACATATAACTTAAGTCATATGTAATTAATTTTGAAAATTTTTCTATATGAATTTTGTAGTATTCTTCATAATGCTATATTAAACAATGAAATTTCTCGTACGGGTTAAAAGAATTTTTTTATATATAGAACAGTTTCTTTTTTTTGAATTTCTGATCGAATAATTATTATAAAAATGAAATGTCATTAATAAAAACTCAATCGATCAATGGTTTAATTAGAGATTGATTTGCTGTGGGAAAAATTCAATCATAGTGGGTTTTATTCTTTACCCTTCTTCCAGTGTTTTATCCAGACGGACGCCCCGGGGGGGGGGGGGGGGGGGAGCGCCCCCCTCCGGAGAAAAAAACACTGCCTTCTTCTCAATAAAAGCACTTTCTACTAGATTTTCAGCTCCTTTTGTCTCTAAAAAAAACACTATTCTAATAATTGTACGACTTGTCTCTATGAAAAATTTCACATGACTTCATTCGTTTATATTAAAGATTAATTTACATACCGATCGACTTGAATTAGTTGATGAATTTGTACAATAATGATGATGATTATGTTGATGAAGATGATTATATCCATGATATTTTTGATGATGTTGATTATCACCAATAAATAAATGTTCATATTCATAATGATAATATTCTTTAAGATAATGTATATTCATAAATAATAATTCTCTATCTTCATGTGTTAAACAAACAGTACTTTGTTGTATAACTGTAATTAAATGTTCAAAAAATAATAAACATAAACGTGCATTAATTAAATCAATTTGATCAATTTGTTTTGAATCATATTTTGAATTCATTAATTGATTTTGTTGATAATAACGATGTTGTAATATTTCATTTAAATTATTTGTTATATGTAAATTACTTATTATTGATGATGGTAAAAAATGTGTTGCAACATATTGTGCAATAACATATATTTGTTCTGGGATTGTTTTATAATCAATAAAAAATCTTGAACACATATAACGTTGCATATGTATCATTATAGCAACATCATAAAGTTTATAATTTCGTGCTAATAAATCACAATATTTCTAAAAATAATTTTATTAAAATAACAAAAAAAAAATATAATAAACTTACTAATAAACCACCACCACGCATTGTTTCAGGTTCATAAGTAGCTATTAATTTATTATTTAAATGATAAAGTGCTTGATGTAAATCTTTATAAGCAGAAAAAACTTCAATTAAATTATTTGATGATAATGAAATTTTTGAAATTGTTGATATATGATCTTTATCAATTGGTGTATGATATACATGATCATCATCTTCATTTGGAGAATCATCAGCATCAACTTCAATACCATCATCAACATCTTCATTAATTGATAATTGAAATTGTAATGAAGAATTTGAATCATTATCATCAACTGTTGATTCTGATGGATTTCGTGAACGTGAACGAGATTTCAATGATGCTAAAAAAAAACAAACAAAAATTAAGTTTCATCTTTAAGAATATTATAAATTGTAGTTATATTTTATATGTAAGAGAAGGGAGGAAGGGGAGGTGTGACAGGTCAAACCCTTTTGATATTTACCTTTCACAAATACTTAGTTGTAATTCAAACTAAACTTGATTATCATGAAATTCGTATTAGAAAAGAAGACTTTGCTAGATTAAAACTCAAAAATAAAGACTAAGAAATAAAAAATGATTAGATTGATATTTCATATTGAATATTAATCGACTAAGATCAGAAACAAGAAAAAAAAAACACCTTGACAGAATAACATAAGTCTACGAATAACGAAACTTAATCCATTAAATCTCTGTTCAAAGTCGTTTCTTTTCTTTTTATTTCCCAAAAAAAAAGGAAAAAAACAAATCTCTAAAAATAACACGTGACTAAAAGAAAAAGAATGTGATTAAGAAAAATAACCTTTTGTTTTCTACATCGTAATACAGTAAAAATTACGTTCTTATATAACATATGGCGCATAAATCTCAGCATAAAATATTTATTCAGTTTTCATTTTCTTCATATATGTTTATTTTAGTATTTCAATCAAAACTTGTCAAAATCAAACTACAAATAGCCCAGTTTCGTAATAAAAATGACGAGTTGTTTACTTTTCTATGACAAAATCCCAAACTTCAATATTATTCATAGGATAATTTTTGATAGAATTCATTTTAGAAACATTTTTTTTTTGCGTAATTAAAAACTATTAAATTCGAAAAGTTAAAAATTGATAAGTTCTAATTAACTGAAAGATATAATATACATACAATTATTATTTTTTGATGTTTTAATTGTTGTTATTGTTGCAAGTGTTTGACATTGTATTGGATTTTCATATTCATTTATATTTGATAATGATGATGGTGAAAAAAATCCAAATTGTAATGGACTTGTACTTATATTATGTTCATTATTATTATTATTATTATTTTGATGATTATTTTTAATTATTGTTACACCATTAATAGCATCAATAATTAAATTTTTTGTTTGTATTTTAGTTGTTATTGAATCTGAATTTGATAATAATTGATTTATATTTTCAAATAATAATGGTTTAATATCAATTTGAAATGAATCAACACTAAATTGCCATTGTCGTTTAAGATTTTCAACAAATTTTAATTCAAGATTTTGTCCTAATAAATTTTGTAATGATAATAATGCCCATGAATCTTGTTCGGAATTTATTTTAATATTTTTTTTTGTATATGTATCTAATACAGATGATATAAAATATTGTGTACATATTGATGTATTTGGTATATATTCAATTAAACATGATGATATAATATATTTAATTATTGTCCATACATCACATAAATATGGTTGATTATTTGATGAAAATAATGTTGTTTGTTGTTGTGATGATAATGAAGTATTTATAAGAAATAATATATCAATATCACGATAAACAAAATCTGAATCATTTATTAATACATATGATGCTGCACCACCATGTAAACGTATAGCTTTAATATCAATTGAATGTTGATATAATTTAATTAATAATTTACGTAAAAAATCTTTTGGTATAATATGTAATGTTGGAAATGATGATGTTGGTGGTGATGGATAAATAGGTATTGTTGGTGTTAATACACGACGTAATTTATCAGTTTGTTCAGATGTTAAATAAATAGATGAAACATGCATTATTTAAAAAAAAATAATAATAGTAAGATAGATAAAAATGAATGTCAAAATGTCGTTTTTCTTTTGGTTTTAAGTTCTAAAATATATGTAGATGAAAAAAAAAAATGTTATTACATCATTATATGAAAAAAAAGAAAAATCATAATGCCTAGAGGTTATTTTTTATGAGTTAAAATAAATAGAAAAAAAAAAAAAGAAAACTTTCGTAAAAATCTGGAGGTTATTATTGTGTGTGTGTGTTTGTGTCTTTTTTTTTTCTTTTTCTATGTATGATTAAGAAAGGAAAGAAAGAAAAAAAAAAGATTCGTTTCAATTTTCTTTTTTTTGCTTTTTTCGAGAGAGAGAAACTAGGTGATCTATGTGTGTGTGTGTGTGTGTTTGATGAATTGTGATTGGATAAAAAATAAAAGACATAATATATTTTATGACGACATCTATTGACGTAGTTGAGGTATTTTGCAATTTTATATGCGACATCATATTGAAAATTAGAAATTTAAAAATCTTCTATTTGAAATAATAAAAATTTTTTTTAGATTTAAATTCATTGAATATTAGAAATAAAAAAAAGAAAGAAATTTTTTTAATATTATATTTGCTTGTCTCTTTTGTCGTATATGTTCTTTTTAATGTATATATGTATCACGTTATTGCCTTCGTATTAAAAATCATACGAAGATCAAAGTCATCTGATGATCAATTTCCTTCAAATCAAGGAGAACTCATTGGACTTTGACGCACATAAAGAAAAAAAAAATGGATTTATACGACCCATTTCTATATACAAATTTACATTTTTCTTTTTCTTTAATTCAAGATAAATAACTAGTTAACATGAAATTCAAATAAGTAATTATTATCTTATCATATTCGATATATTATTTCTAGTATATTGATCTATATACATAATAATAATAATAACCCGTATTGTACTTTTCCGCTAGACAAAATACTTGTCTGAAAATGTAATTATATCTAAAAATAGTCTTTCTATTTATTACGATTGATATCTATCATCAGACGCATTAAAAAAAAAAAGAAAATAAGCAAATTTTTTATTAGTATTCGGTAACATCGAATTAAACTTAGTACTTTCATTACAAATATATTTAGTTTATATTATATATTCATTCATTAATAACTTATGTATTTTTCATGACATATTTAATCATAATCATCATTATCATTCATATATAAGTAATAATATATAATGATAATGAAAAATTTAAAAGCATCATTATAGATTTTAATGCAAGAAATCAAAAAAAAAAAAGAAAGACAGAGAAGACTGTCATCTTAAAACCATAAAAGAAAAAGAAAAAGAACAATGCTTGATATAAATAGTAACACTTAGCAAAAATGCAATATATATATATGCACTTCAGATTCCAAGAGAAAGACATTTAGGTAAATAAAATTTTTCTTACCTAAATTGAAAAAAATATAATTATTAAGATTAAGATAAATATCAATGATAATTATGAAAAATCAAAAGAAAACAATCTCGTAATCACTTATAATCATCTAATGAAAATTTTATATATATATTAAATGAATTTTCGAATAATGAATAATATTAAATTTATATAATATGATAAAGAAAGAATATGATGGAAGAATAATGAACGGGAAAGAATATTGTATGAGAGTAGAATCGACAGCGGACAGAATGTACTGGAATGTACTTGAACGGTTAAGAAGAAAAGAGAAGAACATATGTACAATGTATAATATATGTATGTTCGATACAAAGGACGAACGAACAAGAAGAAATGATAAAAAGAAAAAAAAGACACGATATCACCCAACAAACGTATGTAGAATGATACATTTTGTTCAATGAGAAAAAAAGAAATAACGATGCATCATGTTGAAATCAGACAACTATGCTATGTCATAATATTGTTTTTGTTATGATCAAATTATTTCTACGGTTGAGAACATAATTAATTGTTAATGAGAAAGTGTCTCGAATGATTCATAAAACAACCTATTAGACTCTAATATACAATAGAGCCTCATGACTTTCAAATGTTTAGTAACTAAGTGTGTAAAGGTTTTTTCCAAGAAAATGTGAGAAAAATTTCGGATTCTGTTGCAAGAAGAAAAAAAAAAGAATCCAAAATGTTTTCTTAAATAAGAGTGTCATAACCTCGATCGAGTCATCTCTAATTCAAGGTTTTCTTCGTGTCATCAGACGTTGAATAAATATAAACAAATCACAAACAATTATATGCTTCAATTCACTCATCGGAATATATTACTCTGATTATCTCGTAGTTATATTTTGGAAATTATGGTTCAAAAATATATATATATAACAAATACATAAAGACTAATTCTTTTTTATTGCGAAAATTAAAAATGTAAAAAAAAAAAAATGCTTTTCATCTATGAAACTTTATACATACGTCAATTAAAACCGTCATGAGACAAATTATTTAGTTGACATAGAGAAAATTTCAAAAATAAAACCATTATTCATATGTAATTTTTAGCTAATTTCTGTATAAAAAAAAATTATTTTCGTTATTATTAAATAAATGTTTAGTACTTAAATTTTGTTTTTTTGCTTATGTCTACGATACTTATTTATTGACTTAAGATATAGTAAGAAAAAAAACAGAAAACTAGATTAAAAAAAATGCCTTGTGTGAATAAAAATCTGTGCATATTTGACAATTAAATCTAAAAATACTAAGATAAATAATATGACATTTATTAGTAGATAAAGAGAAAAACAAAAAAATGAATTGATGAGTTTTAAAAAGTGAAAAAAAAAAAGAAAGATTAATTTATATATATAGTTTTTTTGTGATCTTTCTTAAATTATATTGATTACTAAACAATATAAAATTAGTTTCAATACCGATGAAATTTCAATGTTTATTATTTTTTTTCGAGAAGTTAACTCAACAGTCTTTTTGAAATCTATTAGATTGATTTTGGAGTGAAAATTTTAGACTCAACGAGATTTAATAGTCTCAATGTTAAACTTTATGTCACATTCAGAAACATAGATTATTTAATATTTGTTAAAATATCTGAAAAGTTGTTTTTTTTTTCTAAAAGTTCATTTCATCATGCTAAATTAGATTATGAAAGTAAATTTTTCGACATCAATATCATATAAAATTTTCAGAATTCAAATCTGAATATTAATACTATTTGTGATCATACTATTATCTCCATGAGAAAAATATTCACCTGTTAGATTATTGTTTGTGTACATATAAAATTTCCTAGATAAATATTTAAATAAATTTTATTTTCTTATTA